GTCCCCTGCCTGAAGCTTTCTGGAGAAAGCTGCTGCCAGACTGGGTAGACAATACTGGGCTAAATGGACCAATGGTCAGACTTTTTATCAAACAGCTTCCTGTGTTCCTACCTGCTTCAGCTCCCAAACCTGGAAGACTCTCTTCTTTATTTTATATTTTTTTCAAATACCAAGGTTTTGGTGTACCATGATTCCTGGTTATGAACACCTTTCCTTTAAGCACATAAGAGCCCAGCTGGGTCAAGAGCAAGATTCAGATACAGTAACAGGGGCTGCCGTGATCTCTACCTTTTCAGGCTGTACAAAGGTCCTGTCTCATCCTGCCTCCAGGATTATTTAGCTGTGATTCCTGCATTGTAGGTCATGGGACTTTGGATCTGTCCTAACTCTACAATTTTATGTGTGTGTGTGAGAGAGAGATTTGTTGTGCATGATGGTCTACTGAGGTGGGTGCTGTAACTCTGTTGCTTTTCATCACAGGCTCACTGTCTCTTCCTCCCTCCCTTGGCTCTTGGCGAAAGGGTGGGGGAGGGTGCCCTAATTGGATCAGCTTGCTAATTAACTGCCAGAGAGGATTGATGCGGCTTATAGTCACATAAACATGAAAAATAAACAGAATTGATTTCTGCTGAGGGAAGGTTTGCAAGAAACACCTGTTCCATCGCCCAGGGGTTAATTTCTAAAATGGAAGAGGTTATGGGGGTTCAAACTCACTTGGCAATGGGGGAAGTGACAGGTCACAGAGCTCTAGATGGTGGTATGTGGGACCACAATGTCCATTCTGTGTTTAGCTGATGGTGGGAAAGCAATGCCTCAACAGTGCCAAAAGGGGAGGAGAGGAATCTGCCTGCCTTAGGGTCCACGCTCAGTTCTGCTGCTGCCTTGGCAGAGATGTTACGCAGGAGTGATGTGCATCTATCTTTTAAAAAAAGAAAGGAAGGAAGGAAGATGTGGAACCTGGAATGTGGATCTCATTCCATTTCCTAAAACAAGAACTTAACAAGAACATGAGAACCTAAGAAGAGACTCCAGGATCAGGACCTTTTAGTCCAGTGTCCTGTTCTCGCACTGGCCAGCCAGATGCTCCAATGGGAAACCCACAAGCAGGATCTGACCGCAAGAGCCCTCTCCCCTCCTGTAGTTTCCTGCAAGTGGTATTCAGAAGCTTCGTTGCCTCTGACTGGGGAGGCAGAGAAGAGCCATCATAGTCAGTAGCCATCAACAGCCTTCTCCTCCCCCGTGAATTTGTCTAATCCTCTTTTAAAGCCATCCAAGTTGGAGGCCATCACAGCCTCCTGTGGGAGTGAGTTCCATAGTTTAACTACGCACTGCATGGAAAAGTACCAGGTCAGGCCATTGATCCATCTAGTTTTGCCCTGTCAGCACTGACTGTTAGCTGCTCTCCAGGGTTTCAGGCAGAAGGCTCCCCTACCTGGGGATGGGGCAGGTGCTCTGCCCCTGAGCTATGGCCCATCCCCTGAGAGCAGGATGAGGTCACACATGCAGCCCAGCACACTCTCTGGCAGATTTGCTTGTGCATATCAAGTCAGGATTTGGGCATGGCTATAGCAGAGTTTCCCTTTCCAGTATTTCCCTGAGAAGGAAAGAATGGAAAAGGAGACCCCTGCTGGCATGCCCTCTCCTGCAGCTAGCCTTCAGCAGACATCCACACAGCTGGCAAGAATTTCAGGAAGCTGTCCTTGCTGTGCAGGTCTTTCCTCTCCACCCTCCTTGTGTGCCCTCGATCTCCTTTGGTGGGAATTTCCTTCTCCAAGTAAGCACTAAGGGAACCAACCCAGAGGTACCAGGATGGCCTCTTTGACCATCAACAACAGAGGATCTGCTATGGCCCACTTTCCTCAAGCTCCAGATGTTTTGGACAACAACTCTTGTTAACCTTAGCCATTGGCTGCAGGATGGGTGCTGTGCCCCAAACATCTGGAAGGCACCCCAGGTTGGGCAAAGCTGTGCAGGAGAGGTTCTCCATTCACAGCTCTTCAGAAGAGCTCCCTGGGCTGCTTCTCACTGTCAGTTGCTAATTATTTTTGAGATTATCATAGGATCATACATAGAATTGCAGAGTTGGAAGGGACCCCAAGGGTCATCTAGTCCCACCCCCTGTAATGCAGGAATCACAGCTAAGTAATCCTTAGCTGATGTCCAATCAACCTCCACTTAGAAACCTCCATGGGAGGTAGTCCATTCCATTTATGATTAGGATTTTTGCTATCATTTGTTATAATGAAGCTGTTAATTGATTCCCCCCTCCATATATAATGGATAATAATTGTTGGTGCACTTATATTTTGGGTGGCTAGTTATGAACCAGCCTGAGCATCATATGTTCAGGGGAACATGTGACACCCCAGTAAAGCAGCAGTCCTGATGATAACCACGTGGCTTCCTTGAGTGAAGTGCTCAGCCTCACCTGCTCTTCCTTCTCTTCACCTACTTTCTCTCCAGGGGAACAAAGAAGTGGGCATGTGCCCCACCCACTTGAGAGCAAATCCTGCCTGAGCCTGTGCTGTGTACTGCCCTTCAGCCTGGGCGTGGGCTCCCTGGTGCCAGGTAGGCTGCAATAGAGTCCATGGAGAGGGCATCTTTTATTTCCTGAGCTGTCAGAACAGCAGGAAGCCTGGCCTGGCAAAGAGAGAAAGAGAGAGACACACACACATGCTGATGGTTCTGCCTTCACAACCCTAAGCCCCAGGGCTGCTGTTGCTCTGCCTCTTGAATGTCAGCCCCCGCTCCCCCTGACTTCCTATTAAGGCAGCTTAATCTCTCCTCACTGGGCAATCTGGATTCAGCACTTTGAACTTGGTGTACCCATTCATCATGGCCCTGAAAGGCCTACCTTGTCATCCTGTCGGTGGGCATTTCCATCACATCTCTAGAGCAGATTGTAGCCAAGCCTCCTCCTCCCCTGTCCAAGAACAGCCAGCAGCCTGCCTTGGCTGAATACCAAAGTGACAGAGTAGCAGCCAGCCCCATTGCCCAGGAATGCACAAACACTCAGGAGGAGGAGGGGTTGTTCTCCCAGCACCCAGAAGGCAGAGGGACAAGTCAGTGCATACCACTTGGGTAGAAACCGGAGGAGACCCTTGACCACTTCAGAGTCCCAGGAGTTTGGTAAGGGCAGCTCCACCAACAGAGACATGGAGGCAGCAGACCAGGAGCCCCTGGCTTTACGGGTGGAAAGACCCTGGTCAGCTTCTCAGGGTCCCCTCTGGAGTAGAATCTCAGCCACTTCCTGTGCCACTTTGCCAACTAAGGCAAACATTTAAAGCTCATTCAGCCCCTCAACCCACCTACCCAATGTTTGAGGAGTTATTAATCTTTGTAGGGGTGCCAACTTGAATGAAATATTGGGAGCTCCAGGTAAGCCCCGCCCTGCATAATTGGCCACAAGACACTGCACATGCACACCATTTGAATGGCAATGTCCATCAACTTTGGGGCCCCCTCAGATATTTTATTGGGGAGGGGCAAAGGAACTTTGGCCCCTTGGAGTTGGCTCCTATGAACATTTGCAATAGTAGAAACTACCTTGGACTGATTCAGACCATCAGGGTCCATTGAGCTCAATATTGTCTACACTGACCAGCAGCAATGGCTCTCCAGGGTTTGAGGCAGGGGACATTCATGGCCCTGCCATTGGGGATTGAGCCTGAGACCTTCTGACTTCAAAGCAGATGCTCTATATACCATTCACCTCATGGGAAAGCCTTGGGGATAGGCTAGAGTCCCCTTGACCAAAATGCTCCAAACTTCCTAATGTAACATCAGACCCAGTTTTCTTTTGGGGTGGAAGACAGCAAGGAGGAGGAGGAGGAGGGAAAGGAGGACAAGGAGATGCCACTTAGCTAAATTCCTAAGTGCCGGAGAGAATAATTGCGGTTCCGTGTATAAATCAATAGCTAATTTGAGAAAACAATGGGCAATGTAGGGTAATGTAGTGCCTCAGCAAAATCCTATAGGAATCACCCACTGATGGACTCTTGGCTTGGCGGGTGTGAAATAAAGATGGCATCATTAATTGGGATTCATGATAGGATGTTTCTGTGCTGAGCAGCCTGATCCTATATCCATGGACCTCAAGGGGGATGCTCCCGTGGTGTTGGGGCGGGGCACAGGATGATGGCAACTTGCTCCTTGCATTTCTGTTGCCTTGGGAACCTCCATGTTGCAGCTGACCCCAGAGTTGTGTTATTGCCTGGCCTATCCAGGTAGGGCTGGGAATGTTCCCTGCTTGAAACCCTGTAGAGCTGTTGCTGCCACTCTGTGTAGGAGGTAATCCAGAGGTCAGTGATCCAATGGTCTGCTTCCCAGCATGAGTCAGCTTCTAGTGTTCCACTGTCCCCCTCACCCCAGTCCCCCATGACCTGCTGTCTCATTCTGCTTAATGTTTAAAAGTCTTACTTCTTCACACAGCACATAGTTAAACTGTGGAACTCACTGCTGCAGGAGGCAACTTGGATGGCTTTAAAAAAGCATTGGAGAAACTCATGGAGGAGAGGGCTACCAGTGGCTACCAACCACAAGGGTTATGCTCTGCCTCCACATCCCAAATACTGCAACTGTTCTTCATAAGGGAGTTGCCCTATTCCCTTGGTCATTTTGGCTGCCCTTTTCTTGAACCTTTTCCAATTCTACTCTATTGTGTTTGAGGTGAGGTGACCATAGAATAGATTTGGCATTATGATCCAGGCAGTTTTATTTTCACTTCCTAATGAACCCTAGCCTGGAATTTGCCTTTTTCAAAGCCACTCACCCTTAGTTCAACCTCTTTCTTGAACTATCCACTAGACACCAAGGTCTTGTTCCTGGACAGTCACCACCAGTTCAGACCTCTGTAGCATACAGTATATGTGAAATTAAACTTTGTTTGCCCTGACGTGCTTTGCTTTACACTTGATTACACTCAGTTGCATTTACCATCTGTTCACTCAGTTTGCAGTGGTCCTTTTGGAGCTCTTCTCTTTCTGTTTTTAGGATGCCGAGGCTGGATAGCTCTGTTGGTAAATCATGAGACTCTTAATCCAGGGTCATGGGTTCGAATCCCACATTGGGTGAAAGACTCCTGAATTGCCGGGGGTTGGACTAGATGACCCTTCCAACTCTGCAGTTCTGCAATTCTAAGATCAGCAAACTTGGCCACTTCGCTGCTCATATTAGGAGTGTAGAGACAGTTCTTAATCCGAAGCATAGCATGGAATGGTGGTGGAGGGGCTGTGGCTGGTAGGGTCAGCCGGAGAGATACTAATTGTGTAATTGAGCACACAACTATCTAAAACAGGTGGGTCTCTGTCCATAAGACTGTTAAGTTCCCACCCTGGGATTCATTTCCCTGCTCAGGGATTGATTTTAATGAAGAGCAGGTTATAAATCACCCGAGTAAAGCAAGCAAATGAAGTCCAGGGTCTTAAACTGCCTGCCTGGAGCTGCACCAGTCAGTGTGTGGAGGGAGGGGCAGCCTGAGGCTGGCTCTGCATTTCTGTGCTCTCTTGCCTCCCCCTCTCCCACAGCAACAGCACTTTTGACTCAAGAATCTTTCCTGAGCTGCCTCCTCCACGTAAAAAAAAACCCCTCCCCATGCCTTTGCAAGATGGCTCTAATTTAACCATTTCTGCAACGGAAAGTGGCAACGGCTCCTTGGTGATTTAGATGCTGGTGGCAAATTGCCACCTTTGACAGGAGCTGCTGAGATTTCCTGCAGAAATCGATGGGTGATTCAAGGAGTCTGCTGTTCAGCAAGGCAAATCAGCTGCCAACAGGTGGCTTTATTGGCTCCCAGTGAAAGGTGGGACTCATTATACTGCAGGCCGGGGTGGGGGTAGGGGGGTGGGTTGCCATAGGAGGTGCCTGCGCTGGGGGATGCATCAAAGCTGCCCTCTGCTCCCTTGACAAGGCAGCAGTCTCTGCAAAAGGAGCCTTTAATCCTGGCAAGTCTGCCAAGGCATCTTGGGGGTGGCTGAGGGGCAGTGGTGGGGCACCCAGCCGACCTCCCCCCCATAGGTTGCCTCCCTAGAGCAATCCTGCAGGTGCCTGAGCCCTGCCTCCTGAGCATATTATCTGTGCCCTCCTGCCATGGACATCTGCCAGGGCTTCCCTCAAGGAGGATGAGGGAAGATTTAGGAACAGGCAGATGGGAGCACGATCAGACTGCTTTAAAATGTCAAAAGATGATTAAAAAGCCAAGGCAATATGGAAGTGAGAGGCAGCATTGGGGCTAAGAGGGTGGATAAGGCTGCGAAAGTGTCGTTTTGGCAAGGGGGGGCACCCAGATTGTGTGGCCCTAATTCTCAAGCCAAAACAACCCTGAAGGTGGCTTGGTACCCAGGGTGCAGATCCCAGGTGCCAAACAGCTGCTAGTGATGTGTCTCAGAACATGTTCTGGCTTTAATAAAATCATCTTAGAGAGAGAGAGAGAGAGCACGTTCCACGAACATTGGCCAGTTTACAAGAGGACTTCATTGCTAGTGTGGCTAATAGCCCACTATGCCTTGTAGTTAATGTGAGTCCTCCTCAGAGTGGACCCATTGGAATGGATGCCTGGGTTTTAGTGGGACAGCTTCCAGGGGCCATGCCAAGCCTAGCCCTCCAGAGATTGGAAGGTGATCAGAGAGCAGAACATCTTGGGTGGGCAACAGACCACCCAAGTAGTAGCTGTGCTTGTTGATAATATCATTTACAGCCCCCATTTTCCTCCAGGGAGCTCAAGCTGGCACCCCTTGTTCTTCTGCTCTATATTTTATCCTCACAACAACCCTGTGAGGTAGGTTAGGCTGAGAGACTGGCGCAAGGTCACCCAGTAAGCTTCATGCTGGAGTGGGAAGTTGAACCTTGGTCTCCCAGGTCCCAGCCCAGGACTCTCCCACTGGTTCCTGCCCATTTCGCCTCACAAGGCCCAGGGGAGATGTGACTTTGGGGTATAGCCTTTTCTGTGTGCCATAGTGAAGAACCTTCCCCTTTTGCATTTCCTAGTTGGGTCTCTTGAGGGGTTGGGTGACTCTGACAGCCAAAGCTGCCCTGTGCCCTGCTGCCACCCACCCCACACAGGACAGACTTGTGGGACATTAAACCATGTTGGCACTTCTGCTCATCTCCTGCTTGGCACCTTACAGGGCAACGGAGACACCACAACTCCAGGGGGAGCCCCTCTCCCCCAAGCTGACTTGGGCAAGGCTCTTTCATTGCAAATCTAGTTGCTCTTGCATATCACCGGGGCACTTTGAGACTGAAATCCAAGATCAGTTGACATGCGTGTGTTTGACCTTCAAGTCTAACATTTTATTTCACCAAATGCAGAAAAAGCACACCAGGTTGTGGGGGTTGGAGTTACCACCTTGAGCCTCAGCTCAGTTTGTACTGCCTAGCTGCGGCCAAGAGTGGGGGGTCTCACTCTCTTTAGGAGAGCCAACTCCAGCCAGGGCATTTCAGGAACCAGACTTCCACCAGCTCCCCGACTCCAGTGTGTCTCCCCCATATTTGGGACAATTTCAAAACCCTGAGCAGAACCAAAGCCTCTTCCTTCTCTCCCCTCCACCCCAAATTACATTTGAGCCATTGGTTTGTCCCCCACATGGTTGCAAACGGAGAAGCCCCTATTAAAGCCGAGAACTAATTTGGGAGCAGAGGAGGTGAGGCTCCTCCTTCCGAGGCAATTCAGAGCAGCACTTGACATTCAATTAGGACTGCGGGTTCCCATAAAACAGCCTATTAAGCATGCCCATAAATCCCCACTGGCTGTGCACCAAGCCGCGTGGCCTGCCTTGTCCCTGGCACAAGGAGGAGGCGGAGGAGGAGGTAGGAGCAGCAGCTCCAGCAGCAACACTTTGGCACAAATGCAGCCATCACCTCTCCTTGTCACCTGTTTCTTGCTCCAGGAAGGGGAACTGCTGCTGCTGCCACCATCGCCACTCTGCTTTCTGCCTGCATCTGAGAAAACCCCGGGATCCTTAGTGGCTCTTCCAGGCTGGGCTTGGAGAGACCCCGCTGCCTGGAACCCTTGAGAGCCGCTGCCAGTCAGTGTAGACAGTACTGAGCTAAATGGACCAGTAGGTGCGATTCAGTATAAGACAGCTGCCTATGCTGCTACGTACTTCCTCACCTCCTCTGCCATGATCAGGTTATTCTGCTTCCCTGCAGGGCTGATAGGAGGGTGAGAGCAACGTTCAAGGGGAAAGTGCTCATTCTTTTTTAAAAACCACACACAGAGAAAGATCAAAGAGGGGAATGAAAGGGATATTTTGCTCCCACATTATAAAGGAGCCTGATTTGACAGTTGCTTCAGGTGAACCAAAAGTCAGCCGGGTCTTGCTTCCCTCCAGCAGGAGGTCGTAGAGAGGCCAAGCCAGTGGGTTAAAATGGGGTGGGTAGGTGGAGAGACCCCGGATCAACCCACTAACCAGCCACAAAGGTCACTGGGTGACCCAAGGCCGGTTGCTCTCTCTGGCTGCGTCCACACCATACATTTCATGCAGCTTAAGGGACGCGGGTGGCTCTGTGGGTTAAACCACAGAGCCTAGGACTTGCCGATCAGAAGGTCGGGGGTTCGAATCCCCGTGACGGGGTGAGCTCCCATTGCTCGATCCCTGCTCCTGCCAACCTAGCAGTTCGAAAGCACATCAAAGTGCAAGTAGATAAATAGGTACCACTGTGTCGGGAAGGTAAACGGCGTTTCCGTGCGCTGCTCTGGTTCACCAGAAGTGGCTTATTCATGCTGGCCACATGACCCGGAAGCTGTACGCCAGCTCCCTCAGCCAATAAAGTGAGATGAGTGCCGCAACCCCAGAGTCGGCCACGACTGGACCAAAGGGTTAGGGGTCGCTTTACCTTTAAGGGCGCTGAGATTTGTAGTTCTGTGGTGCCAAACTGCACTTCCTGGGATTCTGGAGGGGTGTGTGCATTCTATGGGCTCCAAATGCCAGGTGTGGGCGTAGCTGATATCTTGAAGCCAAAGCATCTACACTGGTCAAAGGGCATCTTCACTGACTAGCCCTCACAGGGGCATGGTGAAAGGGTGGTCATGAGGGAGACTGGCACTCAGGGTGTCCTGCTCACAAGTATCACCAGGGCCTGCTCATCCTCTGTGCCTGGGGTCAGGGCACCACAATGTCCACCCCCTGTGGCCTCTGGGGTGCTTCTGAATGCAGAACTTTGGTAGAAGGCGAAACAGAGAGCCTTTCCCAGCTGGGACTGGTGAAGCAGCCCCTCCACACCCTTTGCCCTGAAGGGAAGAGGAGCACTAAGGAGGCTCACCTAAGAAAAGGACCCGGTCAACTGCCTCCCTCCCCCCCGCCCAGCGTCACTGAGAAAAATCTCTCTCTGATGGATGTTTGCATTATTTTATTTCACAGGAGGAGGGGACAAGGAGGGTGGGGCGGGTCACATCCTGAACAGGGAGAAGGGGCTGTGCCTGAAGTACCCGTAACAGCAGAAATCTGTGCTTTATTCACAGGACAGAAATGTTGTAACAGGACGGTGCGTGGGGGGCGGGGAGAGACACAGGGCTCACGCAAAAGCCCCCCAAAGAGAAGGAGCAGAGGGGCCCAGTCCTTTGGCATGAGGCCACCCCTGAGCAGGTGTGGGACCCCTTTCACTTTTTTCAGCAGGTGGAAGGGTAGGTACCCCCACCATGGCTCCCCCAGATCTCACATTCTGGCTCCTTTGCCTGAGGGCTGCTCTGAAGGGTCTTAAACCAGAAACCCTGGATATCTCAGGTGCCAAGTAGTGCCTAGGCAGTGATATTGATTTATAGACTATATTTATGTATATATATAATATATATATGCATGTATTATCATTATTAAAAAATAAAATCCATCCTTGGGCATCACACACCCTCATTGCACCAAAGAAAGGGACCTTCTGGAGCTCCCCCAGCCCAGCTGCCCATGTGCAAAAATGCAACCAGGGGAGGAGGCACTGGCAGTGTATGGCCACAAACCAGTGAAGTCAGGGTGGTGGTGGTGACAGGCACCCCTTGGCACTTCAGGATGTTTGCTCCTGCCAACCATTTGCCATGGGCCAAGAGGAAGGCCAAGGCAGCCCAGTGGAGGGGGTGGAGGGAGAAGGGCCATAGCTCAGGGGTTGGAGCACCTGCCTTGCAAGCAGAAGGTTCTTGGTTGGATGCCCGATGGCGCCTCTCCAGAAAGGGCTAGGAGGGACTCCTGCCTGCAAACCCTGGAGAGCCATTGCTGCCAGTCAGTGTAGACAATGCTGAGCTAGATGGACACTGACTCAGCAGAAGGCAGCTTCCTACGTTCATTCAGAATAATCAGGGCTGGGGTCTTTATTCCTAAGGGGAAGGACCGTAGTTCAGTGACAGAGCAACCTGCGTTGCATGCGGAAGGTCCCAGGTTCAATCCTCTCCTGTAGCATCTCAGGAAGGGTTAGGAATGTCCCCTTCCTGAATCCCTGTGGAGCCACTACTGCCAGTCAGTGCAGACAATACTGAGCTAGATGGAGCAATGGTCTGACTCAGTCAAAGGCAGCTTCCTATGTTTGTATGAAACTCCCCTCTCCCCCCAAAAATCACAGCTGCTCTCTGTCCAAGTGCTTATTCCCATCGGAAGTCCTGGCCCACCGTCTCGTAGAACTTGACGTTGTAGGGGTGGTAGAAGTCCTGCAGCTGCTCAATGACCTCGGGGTCGATCTGGACATGAGTCCTGCCCTTGGACTTGCCCAGGCAGCGCGGCAATGTGCCTCCGGGGGTGGCCTTCTTCAAGCAGGGGAAGCCCTTGGTCTTGTTGAAGTAGAAGTGCTTCTCGCTGATGAGCCTCTGGATGCCCAGGAAGTCCTGGATCTTGCCCATCTCCCCCGCCGGGTCGGTGATGAGCCGCTCGCCGCTGACAAAGTGCATCTGGGAGAGCGGGAAGTACTGGAGCCAGCTCTCCAGGTGCAGGGCGTAGAGGCCAATGCGGATGGCGCTCCAGGAAGTGTCCACCAGGCCCAGGCTGCGGTTGCGGAAGGAGAGGCCCTCAAAGGTGGGGATGTCAGGCTTCTTGGAGAGTGTCTGGGTGTAGTCGGAGATGGCCCGGGTCACCGGGTTGCGCACCACCACAATCAGCTTGGTCTCCCGAGACATGTTGAAGATCCGCCGGGGGGCTTCCCGTGTGACAAAGTAGCTGGGCGTCTTCTCCATGGTGATCTGGGTCTCCAGGGTGCGGGGCATCAGGCGCCTGCAAGAGAGGAAGGCAGCGCAGGTAGAGGTCAGTTGCAAAGCAAATAAAAAGAGAGGACTTCTTTGCACACGGCTCCCTCCCACAGGAGGGCTATCACTGCAGGGGGGGTGTGAAGTAGATGGCCCTTGGGGACTGTCAGGAGTGAGGAGGAATGATGGGAGCTGCATCCCTTCTCCTGAACCTTCCCAAGAACAGGAGGATAGTATAGATTCAGAACAGTGGTTTGCAGAAGGGCATAGTTCAGAGGCTGCAGAGGGGAGAAGCTGGGAAATATTGGAAGAGGAACAGCAGGAAGAAGAAGAAGCACCAGGGAGAGACAGCTGATGGACTCAGTGTCTCTAGGAAGCATTCCTGACCTCTCCCCCCCCCCCCCAGGACCAGGCGTGCATTGAGAGTAGTAGAACAGAAAGCTCAGAGGCAGAAAGCTCAGATAAGCCAGAGCAGGGATGACGTAGGATGAGACAGAGAGGGTTGGCCTTTACTCGGAGCAATGCCATTATTTAATAGAGACTTCATTTCTTTGTCTGTCTCTCTGAATGCTGAATAAATTATGTTCTAAGAACTCCCTGGTTTGCAAATCTGCTTTTTGGTTGCCACTGAGGGAGGGATCGGATTCCCTGAAACCTGACAGGGACCCTTCCAACTCTACTTTTTCTATAATATGATGGCTGCTAGCCAAGGTAACTATGGCTTCCCTCCAGTATTGGAGGCCACAATGCTTCTGAACGCCAGTTGCTGCAAACCACAGGAGAAGAGACTGTTCTTGTGCTCTGGTCCTGCTTGCTGGTTTCCCATTGGGGAATCTGGTTGGCCATGTGAGAAGAAAATGATGGATTAGATGTGCCACTGGTCTCTGCCAGCAACCCTTGAACCAGCAACCATCTCTGCATGGTCAGGAGGTGACTGGTAGCCCTTCTTTGCCACAAAATGTCCAGAAACACCCATTTGGACCTGCTGAGGACATCTCCCAGCCCCCCCCCCCCCGTTTTAACTTTTAACTTTTAACTTTTTAAATTTTTAAAAAATAGTTTTTATTTTATTTTATAAGTATATAATTATAACAAAACTACCATTCACATTTACAGATTCCTCCAAATCGCTAGACTTCCCACCTGCCCTCCATGGGTCCTTATATTAAACCTGTTCTATAACATCATTGTCTCCATAGTACTTGCTGTGGACATCTTTTTAAAAAGCCACAACAAGTGTGACTCCCTGAGGATGGAAAGGATTCCCTTGCCCCATATTCAAGTTATCCAAGGCAGTGATTATTTCATCATCATAGCCAGAAAATCTCTATAATATCTCTTTTTAAATTCCAATAAAATTTATTCAAGAAAAGAAATCAATCCTTCTTTTACTTGCATATGGGAATGTTGTTTTTAATTAAGGACCAGATGAAGTGTATTCTAATAGTGGAAGTCCTGGATTAGTGGGAAAGGGTCAGCCACTATAGGCTGGTGGAGTGGAGCCCTTATTTTTGCAGTGCAGTCAGGCCTTCATTTGGGGGCCTGTCCAGACATGCATTTATGTTTTTATTGACGGCTACAATGATTTCCATGTGTCAAACAGCAGCAGAGCAGTCTGCACTAAGATAGCATTGTTTCTCGATAGGTATCTAATACAGAAGAGAACAGTCAGCATTGCCATGTTTGTCAAATCGAGAGGATTTAAGGCATAATAAACATTAACTGATGGTAATTCCCCAGATACTTGGATACTAATGGTTTCCCTATTTTTCTCTTGAACTGTCAGTCTTATAAGAATGGAAAAATGAAACAATGCCCTACTGCAAAGGCGCCCTCCCCTTACTAGTCCTCACATGCTGTGCCTGCGGTGAATTTTCATGACGACTTCTGAAAAATTAATTTGTAAACTCCTTCAGAAATGTGGAGAACTTGAATTAAGATTGGACAAGTGAGAAACAAAGGAGCCAAAATCAAGTGCATTTCAGCCTGTGGGGCTTCTCTCCCCTCCAGGGAGACTTTCACAGCCTGCAAGATGCATGGTTGCTGGGAAGACACACCTTTCCCTTTCTCCAGCTGAAACCGTTGCTTATTATCTCCTCTTCCGCCTGCAACTCCCCTCCCTTCTTGCCACCTTGGCACTCCTCTGTTGCTCAGGGGCTGCAAACGCCACCATTCCATTCTGCAGATTTTGAGAGCTCTTGGCTCTGCTCCTCTAATTTATTAATGCAGTTTATTCTGCACTTTTTGTAATTGATTAGGACCTGTAATTTTTGTTTTTTAAATACATGGACCCAATTCCTCATGGAATAGAGCTTTATTAAGCCCAGAGGTGGCCCGTTAATGAAACAGCCGTTTTATGAATCTCCCACCAACGCTGAGCTGCTTATAAAGCTGTCTGGCGCTGATGGATGACCCAAACCTGTTTTTGTGATCTAAACCCAGCAGTGGGAGCAGGGGCTCCCTGACACTGAATTAGCATCTTGCTGACAGCCTTTAAACAATAGGACTCATAATCTGGATTTATGAGGCTCAGAGCAAAGCAAAGGGCCAATTAAACCTACATGCCACTCAGGTACTTGACTAGGGTGGTGGCAGCAGTAAGATGTGCCTCCTGATCTCCAGCATGCCCTGTTGGCACAGCTGGCGGGGAATACCACGTCCTCTCTAGAAACCTCCTGGCGCAGGGAAGACTAACACCAGCTCTATGCTCTATGCCACTTCATTTCCAGGCTCAACTCAAGAGACTCATGTTAGTCTTTAAAGCCCTAAACAACTTAGGCCCCAAATACCTGAGAGCAGGGGTGCCAACTTGAATAAAATATTGGGGGAGCCATGTAAGTGTCACCCCACATAATTGATCACAAGATCTGGCACGCACACCATTTGAATGGAAATGCCCATGAATTTTGTGGGGGGCAACCTCCGAAAATATTTTAAGGGGGGGACCTCAGCCCCTGGGAGTTGGCTCCTAAGCCTGTGAAGTCAATTTCCTCCGTACAGACCCAGGTGTTAAGATCAGCAGAGGGGCCCCTCTGGTAGTTCCACCGACCTTGGAAGCTTGGTGGTGGCTGCCTGGGTGAGGACATCTCTGTGGCAGCCCATAAGTGGTGAAATTCCCTCTCTACAGAGCTGCCCCATATACCAGAGAGGCTGCCTTCTCCCCTACAAACTCCCCCCACCCGCCTGGGTTCATGCTCCTTGTGTGAGTAAGTGGGACTTGAGAGAGAAAAAGCTGGCTCCGCAAGGACAGAAGACTAGATGCCCTCTCTGCTCCCCTTTGTAAATTGAGTGTGATTTGCTCAATCACCTTAGGCAGGGCTGCAGCAGTGCAAAGCTTCTGTCAGGAGGAGAGTTAATTCTCCCTATGGGCTGTGACAGGATGGATCAGGCACTGGAGAACCCTTTGCCTGTGCAAGACTCCCCCCATGGGGGTGGGCCTTTGACTCACGTTCAGAAACGCTCTCCCTCCCAGAGGCAGGCTGATTTGAAAAGTGCATCTGAGTGGCTTCTGCGCACATGCTCTCTGCCCCACCCAAGGCACTGCCAGAATTCCTGCCCACCCCCCTCCCCCTATTCATTCTCCCAAGCCGGTGCTTGTTCCATTTGCAACACAGAAGAGTAAATATATTTGTTTGTGTCATTGTCGTCCCCATTGTGTGCGGAAGACTGAGCAGGCAGGGACCCAAGTCTCTCCTTGCAGAGCGTGCCAGCTGACTTCAGGATAATCCTGGGTCTTAGTCACTTGTCAGCAGGAAAATGAAGTGCTTAGCTTGGCAAGGTTCCCAAACGGCAAACAGCAAAAACTCCACTCTCTCCCATCCTTCAGCACCAGAGTCGCCATGAACCAAACTCAGAACGCAGGAGTTCTCACAGGAGAGATAAACAGATCCCTTGATGGCCTCAGGGCCAATTCCCCATGATTTAGCCGGCAAGGAAGTGCCTGGCTAGTTAAGGCAGGTGGCACAACTTGCCATGTCCATGAGGTCCCAGGAAGATGACAATGGCTTTGGCCCTGGCTGACCAGCAAAGAGGGACCCCACCCACTTGCATTTAAAGGCCAGCCCACATAATTCACACTTTCTGAAGCAATATGCGAGCCAAAACACAAAACCATCCTTTGAAAGTAAAACCCCTCTGAATTTTGCATGCCGTTCCCCAGTGGAATAACATGTACAAAAATGCACTTATTTAGTGAAAATGGCACACGACGATGCCCCGTAAGGGGAAGCTGCTTTGCAAAAATGTGCATATCGGGAGAATTTTGCACTAAAATGGCTGGTGAATTTTCATGAGAATCCATGGAATCATAGAATGGTAGACTTGGAGGGGACCCAAGCAACCATCTAGTCCAACCCCCTGCAATGCAAGACTCATAGCTAACAAACTCACAAACTGATGTGGAAATATGCAGAACTGAATTTAAGATTTAGACAAGAAATAAGGAAGAGAGAAACTGAAACTGACAGACATACACAGCCCTAGTTTCATCACATTTGTTAAGAATGCCCATAAATGTTTCTTTTTAATTTTTGTTTTTCTTCGCAGAATTGCAGCACAGCCAACCAGCATGGCTATGCCAATGAGGCTTGGTCCCAGAATGGCAGAATGCTGCCTGCCTCTCACTGGAGACAGCAAGCAGGGCTAGTCAGCCAAGCAAATGTGGAGAAATACGGTAAAAAGCCAATGCTGGGGGGGGGGGGGAGAGAGAAGGGACATTATACCTTAACCCCAACCTGTGAGTAGACATAAGTCATTGACTCCTCCCTTCTTTTCCAATAGTCCCATAAGCTCATAAGTGTATTTTTTCCTGCAAGAAATACGTGTGCAGGTTCGTCGCAAGAAATGGTGCTCTGGTTAGCCCAAAACAACAAAAGTGTCTCTGAGAAACAAAAATTATAATTTTTTTTCTTTTTTGCAAAATCAAAGCATTACAGGAATTACAGACCACAACAACAAATGGCATGCCTAACACCACACATTGGCTTGCAAAAGGGCTTTTCTTTTGAGTAGCAAAGGGAAGTGGCGTCCCGAGCCACAGAAAAAGGCAAATGCCAGGCAAAAGCTTTGCAGACTGCTAGCAGTGGGGCAGAAGGTGGGACATGCCCTGGCAATTCAGCAGGCATTAAAAGCACCCAGAAAACCTTCCCTCTTTGTGGGCAGTGGAGATGCAGCACATCCTCTGCCCTTCAGGCAAACTCAGATGTTCCAATAATTATTCTTTAATTAAAAGCTCATTTAGAAGAAATGTTACGTGCCCAGGGAGAGAGTACTGGCTGGCGTGATCACTCAGGAGGAAGTCAGGTGGTGCATAAGACTGCAAGAGTTCAAGTTCTGCAGATGTTGTTAATATCAGCTGCTGTTTAGAGCACTGTCTGTTAGGCAAACAGGTAGGGGGACAGCCAGATCCCAAAGAGAGAAGGATGGAAGAGGAGGGCAGGCTAGTCACCAGAGGGCTGGCAAGGAGCACCAGCTGTTTGCTGCACAGAAGCAGCTCCAGAGAAGAGATATCAGGCTGCAGCAAGGTTTGGGGGAGAGAACCTTCCTCTCAAGCCCTTGCATGCTCTCAGTCTGAGACCACAACCAATTCAAGGAGCCAACATGCAGAGAGATGAACCAGCCAGCAGGAGACAGCATTGAATGTCCGTCCATAAAGAGCAGCACACAGAACAGGGCTGGCTGGCTTGCCAGAAGGTCAAGCCACCCAGGGGTGGGGAGATGGCTCACCTCCTTGCTGCTCAGCATCCCATTGACACCCCCTCTGCCCTTCTCTCAAGGTGTTGGCATCCATGCCAAGGCTGCATTCCAGGGCGTCTTGGCAAAGGAACTCGAGCCCATCCTATTATACACAGGAGGACAAGACCTGCCATGCCCAGAGCAGGTTAGGCGCTCCATTTTGCAAGAGCCAAATCAGTCCAGCACACTCTGCTTTCTTTTACAGTTCTGGCATGTGTTGGAAATTGAAGGAATATCATGAACCTTGAAAAGTCTCATTTAGCTGTTCTGCCTGGGCACCTTATGTTGTTTTGTGGGTTGGTAGAGATGGATTGGAGCACGAAGCAGGCCCCCCAGAGGACACATAAGCAGAGCCTCACCCCCCACCATTAGCTGGCCATGCACATGTTGAAGCCTTCTTCTTCTTCATTTTACTCAAATATATATTTATTGATTTGTATATTTATTCATGGCTTCCTACAATTCAAGTGTAGATTATCAGCAAATAAACCTGCCCACACAATGCAGTCATTCAGTGTGAAGGAAGGCAGAATTCGCGACAACCTAACTTGAAATAATTTGCGGTGAGTGTTTGACGCAAGGTTGTCCATGTAAAATCATACAGCTGGAAGGGAACCCAAAGGTCATCGAGATTGACCCCTTGCCAGTGCAGGAAGCCCACTGTAACAGAATCCATTTCAGGCAAAGGGCTGTAACTCAGTGAGCCCGGGGGGGCGGGGGTTTCAATTCCTGATGGCATCTCCAAATTGGGCAGGGAAAGACACCCTGCTTGAAACCTGCAGTGTTGCTGCCAGTCAGTGCAGACACTGCTGGGGTACATAGGCCAGTGGTCTGACTCAGTGTAATGTAGCTTCCAAATAGAAGTTTTTAGGCAGAGGCTGGTGACAACCTAATGAAGGGCAGCCCACACCCTTCTGAGGCAGCTGCAGTTTAGTTCTCCTGTCATACTGTTTATACTGCCTTCACATTCTAAATATGGTCTAAATATTTTTTTTATTACCATTTGTACCTCTTGGTTCGGGTCCTACAGACATTTGAAGATGGCTAGTGCCTTGATGCCTTGTGAGAAGGCAGTATGCAAGTACTTTTATAAATACAATTAAAACATCAATAACAATATTGCCTGTTAATTGTCTGTTCTCCAGGCTAAACATATGCAGTTCCTTCAACCTTTCCTGTCACCTTCTTCTGAACATGTTTATCTGTATCCTTCTTAAACTGCAATACCCAGACCTGGAAATAATGTCCCACGTGAGATCTGACCCCAAGCAGAACAGAGTGGAACCATTACTTTTTGAGACCTGGGCATTATGCTTCTGTTGATACAGCCTAGAATGGCTTGAGCCTTGTTTGCTGCACTGTCACGCTGCTGACTTACACTCAGCTTGTATTCTATTAAACCCCTTAGATCCTTTTCACATTGACTGCTGGTAAACCATCCTGAATCTTACTGCTTTACACTTACCACTGTTGAAATTGGTTATGATTGTTTTGACCTCAGTTCTCCATCCTACCCAGAGCATATTGGGTCCTGTTTCTGTCTTATGCACTATTTGCTACTCCACCCAGTTTGGTATCCTCTGCAAATCTGATAAGTATCCCCTCCACTCTTTTGTCCATTTAATCTCTAAAGATCTCAAACACGGGGCCTAGGACAGAATCCTGTGACACCCTGCTTCTCTCCAGGTTGTTGAGATGCCACTGAGAGCCATTCTTTGGTCCATCAACCAGCTACAGTAGTATCACCCACCCCAAATTTACCAGCTTGCTAACAAGAATATCAGAGGGAACATATCAAAAGGCTTTGCTGAACTAAAGATAGTCTATATCCGAAGCGTTCCCCTGATCTACCAGGCATTGGTGCAACTTAGCAAAGGATCTTCACGCACTCACCCAATCCAGTCAAGCAATGACCTGATACTGAAGGTAGTACGTCATTCCTCTCAAGGCAGGGAGGCGTCCCAGCACAGCTCCTGCTCCCTAATCCTGCCCTTAGTCCTGAACATTGATACACTTATGTGAACAGCTGCCACCTCCAAGGGACAGCTGGACTGAATCTGAGGTAGGACACTTGGCCAGCCCAGGGACTGCATAAACCACCTGTCCCCATCACCCTTGACTTCAGGCAATGCTGGCTGTATGGATGATGGGGGATGAAATCCAAAACATCTGGAGGGTGCCATGTTGGTGAAGGCTAGCTCAAAAAATGGTGTAACTCAGTGTGTTGCTGGCAGCTAGTTGGGCATGATGGGGTTGTGCCAGCAGGCAGGACACCTCTGCTGAGCAGTAGTGCCCTGAAGGTAAGAATGGAGATCTCACTAGGGATGTGCAGGGAAAGAGCACACCTTGAGATCACACAGGTACAAAGGGCTCTAAGTCCCACTGCAAAGGGCAGCACATCTTGGCTTGACAGTACTTCCTGCCCCATATTCAGGCAAGTGAAACCACAAAGGATCCTCCCCACCCCAGCCCAGCACCTCCCCCACCCCAGCTTTTTCTGAGGCGTCATTCCTCTGAGGATAACAAGATCTATGTGTTCCTGGAAGTGCTTCAGACCCAGCTGAAGGCAGAGACTCGGGGACAAGGTCCACAAACAGCTCTTCTTGGCTTCAGGCTCCCCAGTTAAAAAGACCCACATTATGCACATGTTCTAGCACAATTTGTAAAGCTGATTTGGAATGCAAGTTTTATGATACACATTTCCCACTTGGGCTGGGAATTAGGTTTCCTGGGCAACTCTGGGGCCGGGGAGGAGGAGAGGCTTCTCCTTTTGACGGGTGGGTGTGGAATGCAGGATGCCAGCCTCGGCCTACTTGCTTGGTAGCAAAGGAGCTGAGAAAGCATTTGTTCCTTGCTGAAGCTCTAGGGGTTGGAGGTGGAGAATGCACAAGAGCTCCTGGAAGATTTAAATACCACCCTGATCTGTGGCACAGGAGGAGCTTTTTCTGCATAAAAACAGATGGAAGTGGCTATGATCCCAAGTCAAAGTGGCAGCACTGTGCAGGGTGTGCTGCTGGGTTCAAACATGGCAGGAGGCCTGGTGCCAGGTGCCTGATATGGTCCTGAAGTTGTTATGTGGACCTGTGCAAGCACTTCACAACCTAATCTACCCCGCAGGGCTGTTGTGAGCATTTTTTATTTTTTAAGCCCAAAACCCAACACAAAGAGAACAGAAATAACTTTTGGGCAATGCAATGCAAGACTAACTAAAATGGAAGCCAGGCTCCCTCTGCTGGTACATCACCAGCCAGCTGGGCGTTGACAGGTGGGTACTTTAAAGGGCATAAGACCACAATGCCACATGCAGAAATGGATGCAGGCAGATTTGTGCCTTGGAGCAAATTAAGATGGTGGGTTGAGCGGGGTCTGGGCAATGTGCCCTGGGTGCAAAGTTTAACAAGCAGTTATGTTTTTAAAAGGGGGAGGAGGTCTAGGGATGGTGTATAAAGACCCCGGGCCGCCCACCCTTACAAAGCCCCCTGCCAGTCACTCTATTTGCGAAGCTTCCAGCTCAACTCTCCATCAGGGTTTTTGGCTGCTGTCAGGGGGCTTGGGTATATTTCACGTGGGAAGGCCCTCCTTTGGGTGAGGGCTGTTGTCAAATGGCCAAAATGAGGCAGGACTTGCTGCAGTGAGGAGGTGGATTGGCAAGGGGAGGGGGCCAGGGGAGCTCACCCCACCTGTCCCATGCCTATGCTCCCCCACTTCGCTCCGCGGCTTCTAATTTGGAGAACCCAGAATGCCAGCCAGGCCCGCCCCTAGAGAGGCGAGCAGCTCCGCAGCTAACCACTGCACAATTCAGAATCTTAAGCCTTCTATCCCCTGGACTTGGCTGGCTGGGGGGAGGGAGACGTGGGTTTTCCTCCTACGAGTCCGCTTTGCTGGCAGACACGTCGACGAGGTTTAGGAGTCCTTCTTGATGTGCAAAGGCAACGCTCGGCCTGCGTAGCCCTGGAAGATGGCGGGGTTCGGGGGCTCAGTCTCCCGGTACCTCTCCGCGCACCCAGAGAGGTGCCTCCAGAGGAGGATAGACTGGGGGGGGGGTGTGGTAGCTCCAAGGAACTGGGGAAGACTTAACGCCCAGCACCCATGAGCCCAAAAGACACATGGAAGAGGAAAGTCCCCCAGTGCCCTGGGATAGGCACTTTGCACATGCTCTAAGAACTCGTTGCTGCGCATATGTCATGGCTTGGGCAAGGAGATTCGAGCTATATAGACCTAGCCTTGAGACGGGTTGCCAGCCAGGCTCAGCCAGTGCCCGGGACTCCCGCGCGTGTATAGAGTGCCGCTCCTCTTTGCCACCCTCCCCTTGCGCCGCCGCTCACCTGTACCACTCCAGGCCACGCTCGTAGTGCCTGTCGAAGAAGTGGGGCTCGGTGCCGAGGGCGCGCACGGCCGGGTGGCCGCGGATGAACTCCAGCACGGCGCGGGTGCCGCCTTTCTTGACGCCCACAATGAGTGCGTGCGGGAGCCGCTTGGTGCCCACGCTCCGGGAAGCAGGCGGCGGCGGCGGCGAAGGCGGCGAGGAGGAGCCGTTGCCGGCCGTGGCGGTGGAGCTGGCTGCAGCCGGGCAGGCGCGCCACTTCTGCAGAAGTTTCTTGCGGGCGGCGGCAGCAGCCGGCAGGCAGCGGGCGGCCGTCCGGGGAGAGGCTGCTCTCGCTGCTGCCGCTGCTGCCGCCTCCCCGCTGGCCAGCGGCTCCGGCTCTGGCGCGCAGCAGAAGAGGAGGAGGCTGTAGCAGAGGTAGGTGCCGGCCAGCGAGAGGAGCGCGCCCAGCACCAGCGCCCGGCAGCGCCGCCGCCGCCGCCGGCTAAGCGCCATGGCTCCATCGCCAGCAGCCGGGCGCGGCGGGCCACGGCTCCCCTCGCCGGCGCCGTCGTCGGAAGCGCATCGGGCCGGGCGGAGAGGCGGGCGGAGAGGCAGGTAGGCGAGCTCGGCGGCCCGCCACTGGCGGCCCCGCTCCTGCTGCGGCCCCGCTTTAAGGGGCGCCTGACGTCAGCCGAGCCGGAGCCGCCCCCGCGGCAGCCCTGACGCTCCCGCCGCCTCACCGCTGAGCCCCCGACGCGCCCGTAGCCGGTGCGGAGATCGCAGCCCCGGCTGGACTCCAGTTTCCCCCAGCCTTGCACTGGGACATGTCACGGGAGTCGAATAAGGGAGGAATTGGGGATGCCCCTTTCTAAGTGGGAGTCGGAGGACGCTCTTCTTCGTTTTCCTTATGACTGATGATCTTTTCTGAAATTGATATACTGTACAAGGGATCCCAAGACGGCCAAAGCGCAAGCGAGAACACAATTTAAACATCCAAAAACAATCCCCATACAGCCCGGGAAAGTTTCCCCTTTAAAAATGAACCAGGTGCCTCTGACCACGTGCAGAGTGCCTTCTCTGCGCCCTGGGGCAGTCCCAGTGGGCTTGGGCACGCTTACCCGGACAAACAGTTGGCTCCTTTGCGCAAGGAGGCTCCGTGGCTGCCGATGCAGCCTCCGGCTCCGCTCTCTGCCTTCCTCCTTCTCCTCCTCCTCTAGGGCCACCAACATTACGCACTACTGCGCAGCTTGCCTGAGCCGGCCTGGTCCTTCTCGCACACCACCTCGCCAGCGCAGTGCGCGCAGCCTCCTATCGGAGGAGTACGCATCCAGCGCTTTGTGAAGCACCTTTAGGATGACACCCATCTTTGCGCTCCGCCTCAGTGACACGCTAATGCCCCAATAGAGCCGGGTTTCTTTAGCACAACGCGCGAAGCTGACCCGCCTAGCCTGTCACCTCGGGCCTTTCCCAGCTCGGGAACCTCCGAGAGTCAGTCTTTTGTGTGCAGGCGGCTGCAAGGATCGAACCGGGGACTCCAGACTGCGAGGGGCTGCTGGGGGCAGGGCAGGGGAGAGCGTGAGCCCCCGAAGCTACTGGTGGCCCGAGGTGCCTCCTCTTCCTCCGGCTTCTTCATTGCAGAATTGTATTGATTTTGAAAAGCGAGGCTTTCTGCTGTCTCTGTGGCGCTTTGGATCGTTTTGCATGCGGCGCAGCGCTCCGAGGGCTGCTTTGGTGGCAGCGGAGAGCAATAGGAGACGTGCCAAATAAGGAATTGAAGACGCACAAAGAGCGACCAGCGGCGGCCCTTGCCCGGGTATTAACGTACACACAAACACACGGCTGAGTGGGTGGGGAGGGGCAAGGAGGGGCAGAAGGTGCGGGCCTTGCCTGCTCCTTGGATGTTCACCTGCGGGAGGACAGCGCCAGGGCCGGGCTGCAAGGCCCCGGGGGAGCAGCCAGCAGCGGCGCCAAGCGATTCTGCAGAGAGCAAATAAGATTAAAGGCAACCGCAGGAGCCTTGATATCTTCTTCAGGTTCTGGCGAGAGGCAGATCAAAGCTGTCAAATGTTTCACAGCAGGAGAAGAGGGCAAGGAGGAGGAGGAAGGAGGCGAGGAAGAGATGTTTCTGCCTGGGGCAGGTGGTGCTTCTGCCAGCCTGGCCAAGTTGATTTCACAAGGGGCGGTTCTGGAGACCAGGATGCCAGACTGGATAGGCCCCTTTTGGCCTGATCCAGCAGGGATCTTCTTATGTTCTTTCATTCTTAGATGCTCTCATGGGGTAGGCGTATGAACCTGGAGCAAGTACCAGTCTTAAGGAGCAAGGAGGGCTTGACTGGAGTCTGGGCACACCAAGGCACAGTGCAACAGCCTAGGAATGAGTGCCTCTGAGGATGTACAAAGTGATTTTGTGTTAAACCCAGCCCACCTGAGATGAGGGAGCAGGGTTTCCTGATCTGGTGGCTGTGAGATCAAGAAATCCTGGGCACAGCGGCGTGGCTGTTGGTGCTTCATTCTGCCTGAAAACAACAGATTCTCCGCCCTGCAGCATCAGAATTCAGTGGCCAGGTTGCTTATTTGGGCGAGACAGTTTGAGCATATTGCACCAATCCTGGCCTGACTGCCCTGTCTGCCAATTAGCTTCCAGGCCCAGTTCAAAGTGCTGGTTTTAACCCATATAAAACATCCTGGACTCTGCATTCATCATCTGAGGCCCTTTTGTAATATTTTGTTTTAAATTTTGCTGCTGCTTCAGTTTCCTGTACACTGCTTAGAGTTATTTTTAATACAGGTGTCTCCCAGCTTATGTACGTTTGACTTGCACGTGACCGCATATACGCAAGGTGCTAGGAAATAATTAAATAAATAAAGGCATGAAAAGGGCAAAAACGGCCCCCAAAGAATGGGAAAACTGCAAAAATGATGTGAAAAGAGCAGGAAAATGGCTAGCAATCCCATGAGCCTTTGCATCAACCTTTGAGACCTGAGGAGAGCTGAAGTTTGAAAAAGGAGGTTTGGAGGGAGTGATTTTGGTGGAGTTTGGCTTTTTAGATTGTTTTTGCCACTATGCACAATTTCACATATATACGTGGTGCTTGGGAACATAACCCTCCATGTAAGTGGGGAGACACCTGTATATATAGAATACACACACACACACACACACACACACACACACTATCTATCTATATAGAAACTAAATAATCAGTCACTATCCTATTTTTCTACCCAGTTGTGTTCCCTACAAAAAAACACCCCAACACCCCCCCCCGTACGGAATAGAACAAAAAAATGTATTTCAGCAACTGAACCTCATGCACATGTATTTGTGAGACTTAATATAATGTCCGAAAGTGACTGACAAAGCAGCTCTTGTGGAGACAGGCAGACTTCCCTTCCTAGGTCAGAGACAATGAATTGAATTTGGACTCCCAAGACAAACTGTTTGCGGACTTAAATTGTCATTCCCTGCCAAGGTCAGATTCCCTGGGCCTGGCCGGGGCTGCTTAGGAAACATGACTTTAAGCAGGACTGAACATGCTCTGGAAAGCTAAATGGTGTATCTCTCTGCCCCCCTCCCTCTCCTGCAATGTAATCACTTTGAGCAGAGCCCTGAAATGAAAGGGATAAAGTTGTTTGTGGGTGTAGTGGAGGGAGGGGGGAGGGAGGAAAGAGCTTTAATCTTGCTGAGTAGATTACAGAGATTACTCCAGTTTAATCCTCCCATATCTGTCACTGATGCGATAAAGACCCTAACGAAACCAATGGAAGCCTCTCAGTGCACTGGGTTCTCCAAGTGGCTGTTGTGGTTGGGGTGACTGGGCAGGGGGTGGCAGCAGCAAATGCCTCCCATTGGCTTTTTGGTACATTTAAAGGTAAAGGTAAAGGACCCCTGACCATTAGGTCCAGTCGTGGCAGACTCTGGGGTTGCAGCGCTCATCTCACTTTATTGGCCGAGGGAGCCGGCATGCAGCTTCCGGGTCAAGTGGCCAGCATGACAGAGCCGCTTCTGGCGAACCAGAGCAGCACATGGAAATGCTGTTTACCTTCCCGCTGGAGCGGAACCTATTTATCTACTTGCACTTTGACATGCTTTTGAACTGCTAGGTGGGCAGGAGCAGGGACTGAGCAACGGGAGCTCACCCCGTCACGGGGATTCGAAGTGCTGACCTTCTGATCAGCAAGTCCTAGGCTCTGTGGTTTAACCCACAGCACCACCCGTGTCCCTTCTGTTGGTACATTTAGGGCAGAATGAAATGGGGTAGAATCGGGCAGGTTAGCCCTAAGGAGGGATCACTGCACAGGAGCAGGCAGAGTACCTGCTTTTGATGCAAAAGGCCCACCGTTGACTCCCCAGTGACAGCATCTCCAGTTAAAGAAGTTCAAGAAGCAGGAGATGCAGGGAAGGTCCTTCTCTGCCTGGGAAAACCCTGCAGAGCGACTGCCAGCCAGAGCAGATGCTGCTGGGGCTAGATGGGAAAACAGAGTGGCTTAGTATAAGGCAGCTTCCTATGCCTTTCACCTGTACGTGATGTTGAGTCCCTGCACCAGGCAAAAGTAGGTCCGCTCCTGCCCCAAGAGTGCCCCCCACCCACCCTGCACAGAGCACCTAAGAAGGTCAATGGCAGCGTGACAGCAGGGGAAATCTCCTATGAAAGTAAATAAGCTTTGGGCTGTCCCTTGAGTCCACTAGATGACATAGATGTCCCTTGAGTCTGCTAGTCGCCTTAGGAGAGCGAGAAAAATTCTCAGGGATGACTTACACCCCGGCCATCACCTCTTTAATATTCTACCCTTGGGCAGGAGAAATAGAAGTATAATCAGCCGTACCAACAGGCTAAAAAATAGCTTCTATCCATGGACTGTTTGATTTCAACAACAACTGATTGGTTCAAAATTGGGAAAGGAGTACGGCAAGGCTATATATTGTCTCCCTGGTTATTTAACTTATATGCAGAATTCATCATGCGAAAGGCTGGGCTGGATGAATCCCAAGCCGGAATTAAGATCACCAGAAGAAATATCAACAACCTCAGATATGCAGATGACACAACCTTGATGGCAGAAAGTGAGGAGGAATTAAAGAACCTTTTAATGAGGGTGAAAGAGGAGAACACAAAATATGGTCTGAAGCTCAACATCAAAAAAATGAAGATCATGGCCACTGGTCCCATCACCTCCTGGCAAATAGAAGGGGAAGATATTGGAGGCAGTGAGAGATTTTACTTTTTGGGGCTCCATGATCACTGCAGATGGTGACAGCAGTCACGAAATTAAAAGATGCCTGCTCCTTGGGAGAAAGGCGATGGCAAACCTAGTCAGCATCTTAAAAAACAGAGATATCACCTTGCCAACAAAGGTCCGTATAGTTAAAGCTATGGTTTTCCCAGTAGTGATGTATGGAAGTGAGAGCTGGACCATCAAGAAGGCTGATCGCCGAAGAATTGATGCTTTTGAATAATGGTGCTGGAGGAGACTCTTGAGAGTCCCATGGACTGCAAGAAGATCAAACATAT